TGTACAGAGGTGTGAAAGCAGTAAGGTGTTTCCTTCAGACAACCAGCATGACAGCGATGCTGCCTTCCCACAAGGAGGGGTGGGTTTAGAAAAGGTCGACCCTAAAAATGCACACCTCGCCTTATCCCACGGATTTCCGTCTCCGGCGGTAAGGTCCTTTGAAGAACGGAGCTAATACGTCAAAAGTCCCCCACGAGAAGTCCGTGCGTGACCGGCCTCAAGCAGTTGTCCCTTGGGCACTGCGGTCACGCTCCCAGGTCGTTAAGACCAACACTAATACAACTTCTTTTTCAGGTCCCTCAAGAAATACCCTTCCACGGTATGGGCAGCCGGGAAGTGATATTAGCCCTCATACCCGTAACTGCACACGAGACCAAGTTCGTCACTTTCAAATCCTTCATACTCCTAATAACTCTTTTATCTCCACAACTAACCCTTCCCACGTCCTTTTATCACCTCGCACCGCTAGGGCAAACGATTCAAGTACACGGAACGTTATTCCTGGTCTCCGGAAACCACGCTCTAAACTACATGTAGGAACTTTTAATGTCCGAACATTGTTCCAAATAGGACAACAGGTTTCCTTAGCTAGGACTCTAGAATCTTACACCATCGATGTATGCTGCGTCTCCGAAACGCGCATACAAGATCCGAGTAGTGTCATTCATTTGACCTCACCTAATCAAAATAAAGAACCATCTCGATACACGCTTCGTGTATCTGGAAGCCCTGATGCTGCTTCCCGTGGCCTCGCTGGAGTAGGTATTGCATTAAGTCGTAGGGCAGAACTAACTCTTTTAGACTGGATCCCAGTAGACAGTCGTCTATGCGCTGTCCGTCTAAACGGATCAGTAAGGACTCGGAAAGATAGGGAAACTCGTCGTTGCCTCTTCGTCGTCTCTGCCTACTCTCCCACTGAGTGCAGCTCAGAGGAAATAAAAGATGAGTTCTATTGGAAACTTTCTGACCTTCTCCGAAAAGCTAGGCGTTCTGATGTAGTAATAGTGGCTGGTGACTTTAATGCTCAAGTAGGTAAACTAAGCGAAAGGGAGACACCTGGGTGGATCTTATGGTGTCGTGGCTAAAAGGACAGATAATGGCGACCGTCTGTTGCAACTATGCTCAGATAACCGCCTGCTTCTTGAAAATACTAACTTTAAGCATAAGGAAAAACATCTGTTGACATGGCGACCCCCGAATTAGTCCCAACGTTGGACCCAATTAGATCACATCACCATCAGCCACCGATGGAGGGGCTCGACAGAAGACTGTCGCTCATTCTGGGGCACATGTTTAGATTCAGATCATGCTCTAGTGCGAGCACGTATCTGTCTGCGTCTTACTGGACGTAGGAAAGACACTGCAGGGAAGCCTCTAAGGGTTCTACTTAATGATAGGCAAGCTAAGAATATATTTCAGGAACAACTAGAAAAACAGTTAGACATGTAAGTTGTGCCCACCCCGAAGCAGCGTGGAATGGCATCCGAAAAGCTGTGGAAACAGCAGTGATATCCGCTAGTAAGGTAAACCATAACGTTAGGGAGAAACAATGGATCTCGGCAGCATCTACCGCACTGATAGATGCTCGTAAACTCATCCCACCTGGCTCTGAGCATAACGAAGAGCGGAGTCAACTTAAGCGCAGGCTTATAAGAAGCCTACGTAATGATCGTGAACAGTGGTGGGTAGCGAAAGCAAGAGAGATGGAAAAGGCAGCGGCAATAGGTAACAGTAGGCAGCTATTCAGACTCGTTAAAGAAACCGGTATTAGAAACCCGAATATCAGTGAAACCATCTCAGATAAAGATGGGCATATTATTCATTCTCAATCCAGGAGATAGGATAGATGGGCAGAACACTTTAGGGATCAGTTCAACTGGCCTTCAACCACACTTCAATTACCCACGATCCCCAGTCGTCCTGAATGGCAAATTGATGTAAGTCCTCCAACCCTCTGCGAGGTTGAAAAAGCTATAGGAAATCTGAAGAGAGGGAGAGCAGCAGGCCCTGACAGGTTGACCCCTGAGATTTTTAAGGATGGTGGTCCAGTACTAGTAACGAGATTGACTGAGGTCTTAGGTAAAATCTGGGAACTGGACGTAATTCCATCTAACTGGTCCCAATCACTGATTGTGCCAGTCTATAAGAAAGGACAAAAGTCCTCCTGTGACAATCACAGAGGAATCAGTTTGACTAATTCAGTGTCTAAAATATTAGCTTCAATAATACTTGGACGCCTAACCAAAGCTCGTGAAGAGCAGACTACAGAAAACCAGGCTGGTTTTCGACCTGGACGTGGTTGCATAGACCAGATATTCACTCTACATCAGGTCCTAGAACATAGACACACATTCAGACGTCCCACAATCTTAGTATTTATTGACCTCAAGGAGGCATTTGACTCCGTTGATCGTGAGGTTCTATGGCAGTGTTTGTCAGTGAAAGGAGTACCAAAGAAGTACATTAACCTCATAAAGTCTCTCTACTCGAACACAACTGGTCGAGTTAGAGCCTATGGCGAACTGTCATCAGAATTGGTTACCTCAAGTGGTGTTCGTCAGGGTTGTCCACTCTCCCCATTCTTGTTTAACTTTGTCGTTGACATGCTTTTAGAGATATCACTTTCATCATCTCAATCTCCTGGAGTTGAACTTTTACCGGGAGATTCACTTGTTGACTTAGAGTACGCCGACGACATAGTTTTATTCGATGAAGACTCTGGCAAAATGCAGAGTCTTCTGACCACTATAAGCAACTATGCAGGCATGTTCGGGATGCGATTCTCTCCCTCGAAGTGAAAAATGTTATTTCAGGATTGGGTTGCATTGACACCTGAACTAATGATAGGGAGTGAAGTAGTTGATCGTGTTGACAGCTTCACTTATCTTGGGAGTCTCATCAACCCTTGTGGTCTGGTGTGTGACGAAATCTCAGCACGGATACAGAAGGCTCGTCTAGCTTTCGCCAACTTGCGCCATTTATTGTGTAGGCGAGATATCCGTCTAGCAACAAAAGGACGGGTTTACTGTGCAGCAGTCCGTTCCGTCCTACTTTATGGCAGTGAAACATGGCCGATAAGAGTAGAGGATATTCGTAGGCTACTAGTATTCGATCATAGGTGTCTTCGACGCATTGCTCGTATATCCTGGGACCACCGGGTAAGTAATGCAAATGTTAGGAAACGGATACTAGGTAAGGATGGCAAATCGATTGATGAAGTACTGAAACTTTATCAGTTGAGATGGCTGGGACATGTGTTACGTATGCCCAACCACCGACTGCCCCGACATGCAATGCTTTATGGTGTAGGAGTAGGTTGGAAGAAAGCTAGGGGCGGCCAGACCAAAACATGGGATAAATCTATGAAGTCACTGATAAGTGGACTGGGCCGTATTGGTAGGTGTAGACTACCTGGTTGGGATCCGCGAGATGATAGCAACCGATGGTTAGAGACCTTGAATGACATGGCTAAAAATCGTTTGCAATGGCGAAGGTGTATCCACTCTTTGTGTTCTACCAAATTCTAATCTTCTGAATTCTTCATGTCCGTATCCTTTTTTTCTTTCCAAATTTATTTCACCGTATTATACTCCTTCAATAATTTCTTCAAACCCTAATCTTTTGGATTTCTGATTACACTCCTACTACTTCTACCACTATGGGATTTGAATCGATAACATCATCTCTGTACCAATGTGGTATGGCAACTCGAACTGATGTACGTACGTACGAGGTTCTACGTTGCAACTGACTGACTGACGGTGGATCTGATGCAGATGTGAAGACGCAGGTCGGCAAAACAAGAGCAGCATACTTGCAACTGAAAAAACATCTGGAAGTCAAAACAATTGTCAATCAACACCAAGATCAGAATTTTCAACATAAATGTGAAGACAGTTCTACTGTATGGGGTGGAAACCTGGAGAACTACGAAAGCCATTATCCAGAAGATACGGGTGTTTATTAACAATTGTCTACACAAGATACTTCGGATCCATTTGCCAGACACTGTCAGCAACATTCTACTGTGGGAGAGAACAAACCAGATTCCAGCGAAGGAAGAAGCGCTTGGAGTGGATAGGACACACATTGAGGAAAGCATCCAACTGCCTCACAAGGTAAGCTCTCACATGGAATCCTGAAGGCCAAAGGAGAAGAGGAAGACCAAAAAACACATTACGCCGAGAAACGGAGACAGACATGAAGAGAATGAACAAAAATTGGATAGAAGTAGAAAGGAAGGCCCGGGACAGATTGGGTTGGTTGGTGAATGCTGGTCGGCAGCCTATGCTCCATTGGGAGTAACAGACGTAAGTAAGTAAGTAAGCTTAAGCATGATACGAAAAGCTTATTATTTCGTCCTACAGTTATTTGAAAGCAAATTATAGAAAACGCTTACTGAACCTGGTGCAGTCTTATTTTAAAATGTAAATCAATACCATTCCTCCCATCTTACTTTCATTAAAAGTAACCTTTTTATCAAATTACATCGTCATCAGTTCGTTATTAGCAGTTAATGTTTTTTTTACGAATTATTTAAAAGCAGTTAAAAGTTTCATTAACATTGCTCTCAAATAATTGTCTCATAACGTCTTTCATAGATTAGATTCATAAATATGGGAAAAAGTATGAAAGATCATCTGTGATAATATTTGTGACCCTTTAAAATGTTTAAACATATATCTCTGTCTTTTTGTAAGTAAATTAGTTTTTGTAACAAAATTAGTCTTCTTCAAAAAAAAAGAAACGGAACGAACACCTTGTAAACTTTTAAGCTAAATAAAAGCAACTTGTGGATCCAGTTTCATTATAGTTTTCCTAAAAAGATGCTTGATTTTGACTATCTGTGTACTGATTAATTGATAATGAGCTTGAGAATGTCAAGGTAATTTCTAGAGCGACTTAATTTTGCCAGCATAGTATAATTTCATCACAAATATCTTGACTTTTTAAAGCACGGTACCTCATCAAAAAAGGAGTAAAATGAAGTCTTTAGATATCATTGTTTCTAACAGATTGTATTTTATGTTATAAAAAACACTTTAAGGTAGACCACTCATTATTTGCACAATAAAGTTCAGAAGCTGAGTAAAATATTGTATATTTAATAAAGTTGCTCATGACAGAAATGATGGCAAAAGTGTAAGTGATCAAAATTTCATTTCTTTTCATACCATTGTTCTTTTTTTGGAAAAAGAGGTTTTCTTTCAAAAGCTGTGAACATATTCTGCTTTATCGCTTGCGTCCGCATCATCATCAGACAACTCCGGATCAATGAGAAAAGCAATGGATAGTGGAACAACAGGAACCTGTTCACCTGATTTATTAACATAATAAAATGTAAATTTTAACGAAATGAAAAAGGGAAAAATATATCACAATGTGAAATGTCCTTAGACGATAATGATAACAGTCTTTAATAGCGACTGGTAATAAATGAAAATCGAGTAGCACTGAACAGCTTTTTTTATCAAAGTTTTAGACATTTTAACATTGCTTTTACAAAACACTGGTAAGAATGGGATTAAAACCATATCTCACGGGGAATATATTATCTTTAGGTTTCTTGGTTAAGAAGCAATGGTCAACATTAACGACGAGTGAATTTATGAGACTGTACAATGACATATCATAGCTTCTTCATTTTCTATAGCTCTCCGGTCAACCACAGCCTGTGATGAAAAATTAGTTATTATCATTAAAATATATTACAATTTCACTTAACATATATACAACAATAAATACTTGGAACCTATCTAGCTTGTTTCCACGAATTAAGCACTAAGTATACGGTATTTCATAAACCCTTTTTTAGTCGCTGGCGTGTCATCTGACTAAAAGATGTTCTGAACAACTGACGTTGTGGAATCTTCTCACATAAATTCTTTAATGACAGTGCGGACATGCATAAGGAGTTATTCGTTATTGACCTCAGTAACTGGGCTATTTAAAAGTGTGAACTGGAAAATTCAGAATGAACAGAGTTTGTTTTGTGGATACATCCTGGCATATAGTATCTATAACTACCAAATACAACTATTATATTAGTATAGGGATGCGGAAATTGTTGGAATTTATTGAAATCATGAACCGAACAATATTAGATCACCATTGAGAACCTAGAAACACTGGACAGTCATTTCATCACAGTATGGGACCCTTTGGCATTGCACGTCCACAATCCTGCACCTAGGACTCTAAACCTCTAGAACAGTGAAAAGATGGTCGCGCGCCATCGTGGATTGGTTGAAGTTAGACACTAACATCGTTGGATCCTAATACAGTGGTCTAAAGTCAAAGTGTTCGCTCGAGACTGACGATCCTGGGATTAAGTTCCGGGTACAGAACCGTGGTTGTGCACAGCATCAGGGTGCTTTCAAGTTTTTACTCGTGGTCTGACAAGTACATATATTTGTACAGATCATTTTTAAACACCACAAAAGTTGTTTTTCAGACAATTACTAGTGTATTATTACGCATTAAAAAACTGATGATTTTTTTATTACAAATTGATTGTAGTGATAATTTTGGGAATTTATGTAAAATTGCACTTTACATTACATTTTACTAAAACTGTGACTCTTGAGACCAAAATAGAATTAATAGCTAGACACAAAAATAATTTTCACTGTAGATTTCAATTCAAGTTCTAACTTTCAATTTATTTCCTTTTTTTGTTTTAAATTAGAACGCTTTGAAGTATCCTGTTCATGGAAGATATATGTAGATAACTTTAGGTGATTAAAACAAAAACTCCAATGAAAATCAAGCTCTTATGTTCAACACTGATTCCATAAATAAATGGCGAAATATTCAAAATGTTGTGAATGATAACACAGGTGAGAACAACCAACTATGTATTTAGCACAAATTACAACGTTACTTGGTAAAATACAAAAACCATGCTATGATACACTATTTGCAAAATGTTCTTCAATTGCCTCAGACTTCCACACAAATTGCTTTTTATTTCTGTTCTTCTCTTCTTGATCTTCTCAATCTTCTGCTGTCAGATATTCTATTCCTTACTCACCATATATACTACTTATATCGATATCAGTAGCTCACACCACACTCGTCCCCCTTTTAATAAGCTGTTCTCGCAATCTTTCTGATCGCCGTACCATTGTCTCCTTTGGTGCTGTTCGTGACTCGTGCTCATGATGTTCCTGAAACCATCTCTGTAGTTGACTGGCATTTACACGCTTCTGCTTGTCTTCTCTCCGGATCGTGTAAACTGGGCCGCGTCTCTCCGTGATAATGTACGGTCCCTCCCATTTCGGGGTCAGCTTTCCTGACCCTGGTCCCCCTTCAGTGTTAGCTCTCCGTTCTCTACACTTTACTAGGTCCCCCACTCTAAAAGGCTCCCATGCTTTTCTCTGCTGTTCCACCTTCTTGGTGTCTGATATTTGTTTCTTTTTCACGTTCTTTATTGCCTCCGTCCTCTCTTTCCTTAATCTTGTTGCCGTCCACTTCTGCTGCTGTGGCCACGTCTTATTATGCATCGGAAGTCGTGGCTGTCTACCATACATAAGTAGGAAAGGTGATTTCTTAGTTGTTCTTTGGATGGAGGCACTATGCGCCAGCAAAATTAGTGGTAACTCTTTCTCCCAATTCCCTCCTTTAGATGCTAACCATTCCTTTAATGTCCGGTTGTTTCTTTCCGTAAGCCCATTCGTCTGAGGGTGATACGGTGTAGTTCGTATCCTCTTGATACCGAAATGCTTCAAATGGGCCTTAAACTCGTCACTTTCAAAACAGGGACCCTGGTCGGTTAGTATCATCTTTGGTACTCTATGACCTGCTACAATGTGCCGGATTATTACTTCGGTCACTGTTTTCGCCCGCTGGTCGGCAATCGGTACAGCGTCGACCCATCGTGTAGCATGTTCCGTCATTACTAGTAAGTATCGGTTGCCGCTATCCGTCTGTGGAAATGGTCCCATCACATCTACCGACCATAGATCACCAACTGCGGTTACTGGGACCGACTGCAATGGCGGTTGCATGTATCTATCGCTTTTCATTAATTGGCACTGTTGGCACGTCAACACATATTGGGCCACATCGTCTCTCATGCCTGGCCAGTATGCACTTTGCCGTAGTAAATCTGTCGTTCTTGCGATACCTGTGTGAGCTACCTGATGGCATTCGTGTATCATCTTACGCCGCCAGTCTTTCGGGATCACAGCCACCCAATTTTTGTCATCATCCTGCCAGACCAGAGCTCCATATGTGTTCACTTTCAGTCTTTCCTTTTGCCGAAGCAACATTATTGCCTCCTTGTCCATTGCTCGTTTGTCAAAATCTGCCCCCTCTCTTATCACTCTGATTACCTCTCGAAGTTTAGGATCAGATTTCTGTTGCCGGACGAGTTCTAGTGGGTCTCCCTCTATACTGTTCACTGCGTATGCTGTCAATGGAAGCTCGGCTTCCATGTCTGTTCTTGACAGATAGTCCGCCATTACATTTTCCTTCCCTGGAACATGCCCGATACTGAAGTCATACTCCTGCAGACGTATCATCCATCGCGCCAACTTCCCACGTGGGTCTCGTGCTGTTTGTAGCCACTGCAGAGGTTTATGGTCAGTCTCGATGTGAAATCGTTTACCTAACAGATATGGTCTCCACTTGTCTACTGCCCACACAATCGCTAAGCACTCCTTTTCGATCGTTGAATACTTCTGTTCCGCAGGCGTGAGAACGCGACTTGCGTATTCCACTACTCTATCAGACTGACTTAAAACGGCACCTATACCATGGTCACTTGCGTCTGTTGTCACTGTAAACGGTTTCTCCAGTTCGGGCAGTCTGAGCGTCATCTAGCGGTCGTCCAGCATGTTTTTGATTTGATTAAACGTTTGTTGGGCGGTTTCAGTCCACGAAAATTTAGTGTTACTCAACAACTTATAAAGGGGTGCTGCTATTTCGTTGAAATTCTTGATGAACCGACTGTAGAACGCCGCCCTTCCCAGGAACTGTCTCAATTTCCTTTTCGAATTCGGTACTGCAACGTTCTTTATAGTCAGAATTTTCTCCGGCAGGGGTTTTATTTCTCCATTTCCCACTTTATGCCCCAACAACGTGATGCTACTTTTCGCCATCTGTGACTTGTCCTTATTAATTCGAAGTCCGAATTCTTCAATTCGCTTTAGGACCGCTTCCACATGCTTGACATGATCTGTTTCTGTCTGGCTGTATACGACTACATCGTCGCCATACACTTCGACGTTATCTAGATCCCTGAGCAGTAGCGACATTAATCTTCTGAACGTAAATGGTGCGCCCGCCAATCCGAACGGCATTCGTCTAAATTGATATTGTTTATCACGTATGGTAAATGCTGTCTTGCTTCGATCGCTCTCTTTTATAGGCAGCTGCCAATAACCTGACCGCAAATCCAACACTGTAAACACCGTGGCATTCTGCAGCCGATCTAATGTTTCCACTACTGTTGGCATTGCACACGGCTTTAGTTCTGTTATATTATTCAGTTCTCTAAAATCAACACAAAATCTATATTTCCCATTCCGTTTCTTTACCAAGAGTACCGGTGAGCTATACGGGCTGTCCGCCTCCTCAATTATTCCTTCTTTCAGCATCTCTTGGACCTGTCGATTTACTTCAGCCTCTAAGTGCACAGGGACACGACGTGTTGTGAATGTACTTCCTCCATTGTTCTTTATCGGGATTTCGTGCTTTACTTTGTCGCAAAATCCGTACGGTTCTCCTTCTCCAGTAAACAGTTTCGCATACTTTTTGCGCAACTTGGTTATGTTTGGTTTCTTCGTCACAACGGCTGTTGCCACTCTAACCTCAGCCACCTCGCTACTTTCATGTATTGAGAATGAACCGTACTTCGTGACCACCTTACCGCTTCTTAGGTCAACTATGGCTTTTACTTCTCTTAGGAAATCTGCTCCTAATATTGGTCTCGACAGGTTTGCGGTTACCACGAACGGAAAACTTATCTCCGAACCATCCACTTTTACGATACTGTTAGACACGCCCAATACCTCTAACATATGCCCTCCTATAGTGTGAACTGCGACTTTACACGGCTTAAAACTTTTACATTGCTCTTTACCTATTAACGAAACTGCTGCCCCTGTATCGATTAGGCACACTAAATCTAGTTCATTTAAGTTCACACTTGCATAGACTGCCCCTCTATCTACTAATGCAACAACCCCCAGATCCCTAGAGTAAGAAGGAAACACGTAACGTCTAAAATATCTCCGTTTTCGTCATGTTGGACAGTTTATCTTCCAGTGTCCTGTCCCTCCACATGCGAAACACTTATCATTCCTTTTACGA